TGGACAGGTCATCATGGGTCGTTCTGTCGGATGAACGGGTTTAGTTGAGAGCAATTGACAATGGAGCTTGGTACATTCTTGCCACCGTGTTCTTGTCCTTCATTGTTCATATTCGCCCCGTCATCATGAGTGATCCAAAATATATTAACCAAGCCGTTCAAGTATCAATCCCAGATAATCCTGAACTCAAGATACCCCCTCAGCAATCCCCCCCAGACAACACCACTCCACCAAAAGATGAGTTAACTCGTAGGTCGAGTGCATTGGCTCCAGCACTCGAGAGGATGATCCAAAATTACGTGCGAAAAAGACCCCAGTTACCACGATGGCAGGCTCAACGGGGCGCTCCTGGTACCCGCAGTTATATAGAGAGCTTAAATCTGCCTGTAACAAACGCTATATCGCCTTTTCCGTCACTTTTGCTCCACAAACTAGGCGAGAAATCCTACGATCCACCCCTGTCCAAACGTCTTAAGGAACTCTTTTGCCCTGGTTCTTTACTGAGGTCAGCATTTAACCTCAAAAATCGATTTAATCAGCGCATATAATAATACTCTAACAGATTTCTTTGTAACACTTCTGGATCAGGAAAAACTCGTCTCCTTCTTGAAGGTCTTTGCCTCAATTGGGGGTTCTACTTCACAGCACGCCGAAGTCTCGACTTGGTCGGTTCCTCAGATTTCGAATACATCATAGACCAAAGAAAATCTGACCTTACCACACTCCCAAAAGAGAATTTCTTGAACATCCTGGGAAGAAACCGTTCCATCGCTGACTGGGGCTTCCTTCTCTTACTTTATGCTCGAATATCCATTTTTCACATATTTTTGCGAAGTGCAAAGCAAATAGATGGTAAAATCGAAGAGGAACATAAAAGGATTTGGCTTTTTATTCAACTCGCACCCTTGCTGCTGGTTGGGACTGACATCTTCGAGGAACACGTTCGTCGTCTAGGCAGTCCATCCTCCAGTGATCTCTCTCATTTGATTTCGATGGAATTGGAAGAAGTGGCCACACTTCTAGATGATGCTCCCATATTTTATGTGGTTGATGAGGCCCAGGGTCTCAGCCACTCGTTCGAAGACTATTTTCGATCCTACCAAGATGCAACGCAGCCCGGGCCTATTTTACGAGAGCTCATAAAAAGTTGGCAAACCTACACCGCACAGATGGTCATCTCTGGAACGGGGATATCGATGAAGAAAATGCAGAAAACCTTCGATTCGGCATGGGCAAAGACAGACGATAGATCTCCAGTATGGACGGATGTCGGCGCATTTGATAATCAAAAGTCCCAACACATTTATCTATCGCATTATATCCCTTCAGAATTATTGGACTCATTATTGATGGAACGGCTTCAATATTGGTTGAGCGGTAGGCAAGTGATGGAAACTTCACTACACACAAGACACTTACTGATACTAGATACCGGTTCACCGTAATTTACGCTCACTTTATGTTGAAGAACGGGTTTGAATCCCCGCATCTCCTGCTGAATCAGTACATATTGGGGATGACAAACCGTACGGTTGAAGAGGAAGGATTGCCAGAAGAGACTCCGCTAGATGGTGAAATTAAAGCAGAAATAATAAATAATGCTTATGGTAAAGACGTCGACTTTCAAAAACTCCTAAAGCAATTTGAATAAGGTACGTATTTGACAACTTTTTGAGATGAATTTAACCTGGGATAAAGACCCAAGCCTCGAAACTGCTCTTAGCTCCTTCTTCTATGAGCTTTACATCACTGGGAAGACGAGGAGTTTATGTGGGAAAGATGCGGACAGCCTGGTCGAGTTGGGGATTTCTAGATTCAAGAAATCAGGAGTAGAAGGTTATAGAAAAGCTGAAATAACTGAGCATCTCGTGATTTTTGGCCTGGTCGACCTCCTCCTAGGGCTCAAACTGAGAATGGAAGATCATTTAATTCAGGAACTCTGCTCTCCCCATCGAACTGTACAAGGGTTAGCGTTTGAGCCATTCGCAGCCTATTTGCTTGCTCAAGCTTTCTCCTCACCCCGACCTCTTTCCTCTGTATTCGACTTCATGGGCAAGTTTGCAATCGAGGACGAACAGGCGGAATTAGTTGGGCTAGAAAGAGTTGACAATTCTTATCGACACCCTTATGCCCCTATACCCTTTAGGTTGCTCTCCAACAGTAGACGGCATGTTGGATTGGCTCAAAGATCCAAAAGGAGTCCCATTCTGTTTTCCTCCAGATACCGTTGGACCTGATCTCATCTTGGCTCTTCGACTGACCCGGCACGACACCATTCTTCGTGTGTGTGTTCAAGTCAAAAATATCGAACAGGAGCAAAGCGAACGGGCGCTATCCGAACCACAGAACCGACTTGCTGGTTCTCACATCATAAAAATAATAAAGAGTGGGTTATCTCTAATCCATCCATGCAGGAAAACATGCTACAAGCACTCCAAAATCATGGTGCTGGTGCTGCTGGAGCTGGTACCTATGGCGTTCTACGTGTATATTTGCTATGCCATCCTTGACAAACACGACAGAACTCGAAAAGGCTGCC